ATTATGATATTTCATGATAATGGTTTTGTCCTGTTGCGATTTGCTTGCGGTTTTAACAAATAATCCATTGATGGCCCTTATCGCTATGTTATGGTCGACGGGAAAGTTGGATGTAAATCCTAGATCGGTTTATATTTCCATAAGATCGGCAGGTATTTTGCTTGGTTTTTAATATTTCGCTCTTTTGGAAATGAATTTCGATCGACATTTGGCGGTATCTTACCCTATCTTTCATCGAATATGGCGGACTGTCATGAATAGCGAACACTGATTGGTCGAGTTTAAAATTTGCATTATAACGACTGCATGACGACAGCGAAATAGCAAGCATTTCTTGATTTGAAGATTTCTTGCAAATATATTTTATTTTTGCAAGATTTTGTCAATTTCAAAAGCTTTTTGATAAAATAAAGGAGAAATAAATTGCTAAAAGAAGGGAGCAAAGTGGCCGACGTTAACGAAGGTAAGTTTATCGCTTCAAACCCAAAGTTTATCGACACAGGCAATTTAGTTTTATAATGAACATTTTAAGACATTTTGCGAAGCGTTTGTGGTTGAATTTTATCTTAAAATTTAAATTGAAGCTTATAGTACGTATCATAACATACCTAACATATAAATATGTTTGGGAAATTGATAATTTTGTATTTAAAAGTGATATTTTTAGGAGATTTTTCATGTTGGAAAAATATTCTTAAATTATCGTGTACATGTTACCATGACAACTACTTTAAATACTTCATGTTCGGAAAATAGAATGGTTTTGTCAGCAAGGTGGGGTGTTTCTGCATGCATGCATTTTCTAGTCTGATTATTTGTATTCTTATCTTTCCTGCAATGTTATTTTAACTTATTTATCAACTACAAGCTGTTTATAGTCGTCAGGAAAAGGCGTAGAAACGAAAGAATATCGTCCGATATGAAAAAGACGTTTTCTCTGAAAAACATATCGAGTTGTTTGCTATAGCAGTCGCTTGTCTTGGGGTGGTATCTGTTCCACTGGGCACTGGGCGTTTACATTGGAATAAGAATAAACTCGTCAGAGACAACATGTATATTTTGAATAATGCAAACCTTGCAGCGATCTGGGCTGTAACAATAGCTTTGATGATTTGCACATTTAACTGTTTAATCTTTTACTGGAAAAACAAGGCGTTACGTACCGAAGGATTGAAAGTTCTGAAAAGCCTAAAAATTTGTTATATGTCGACGAGTCGAATACTAGCTACACTAATAACCCTTCTTCAAAAAAACTTAAGGTGGCTCAATACAGTTTTCTTAAAAATGGAAAATTGGCGAATTAGATCGGTATTTCAGTTTCAAGTATTACTTGTTCAAAAACAAAAAGCATCTAATTAAATCTAATTAACTTATGAAAAACAGCATCCAAAAGGTTACGCAACTGCGATGGCTATGGCAACAATGACGTTTAACTCGAAAACGACATCGGTGACCCACCAATTTTATTTCATAAAATAGTTTGTTTTAGTATATTGAATTACGTTGGCAAATAAAAAAAAATTCTGTGGAGCCGAAATTTTTAAAATTACGTAAAGGTGATTATTCATAATATTTTTTTTTTGGCTCCACAGAATTTTTTTAAATTGTCACAATAGTTGACTATACTAAGAGAAATGAATTTTTTAAATGAAATTTGAGGGTCACCGATGTCGTTTACGTGTTAAATTACTTTAAAGCCAAGATATCCGCCATCTTGAAACGTCATTGTTGCCATAGCAACGGCAGTTGCGTAACTTTTGTGCAAAAATTCAAACTCTTTAGAGGTTGTTTTATATAAGTAAGGTACTTTTTGTTTATCAACAAGTAATAAATGTCCAAAAATATGCATCTAAATCGTGAATTTTCCATTTTTTAAAAAACTGCATTGATCGAGCCACCGCCTCGAAAGAAACTCACTAACAATGTCTTGGTCATAGTCACCCTGCGAGCAAAGTCCTCTCGTATTTCTTCCCGGCACGGCACGGAACGGAGAAGCGAGAGAGACCCTGCAGAACTTGTCTATAAATTTATTTGAGCATGCGCGAAGGTTGCTAAGCAACTGCTTATTTCCCAGAAGAAGATTTAATAAGTAGTTTCCGGTTCAGATCAAAACCGGTTATAAAAGCAGTATAAAACATGAAATTACGCATAATTATCCAAGTTTTTGAATTGTAGGCTACACAAAGAATAAACACAAGTTCTGCAGAGTCTCTCGCTTCTCTGTGCTGCATGTGCCGAGAAGAAATACGAGAGGACTTTGCTCGCAGGGTAGGTCATAGTAAACGTGGCACAACGAACTATACACTTTTATTGTTCGATATATTAATATGCATATCATCATCAGTATATATAAGAAAGACAAAAACAGTAACTAGGGTATATAAGGCACAGCTATGCCTGTAATTTCGTCCATTCCTGAAGATAACTAAAATATAGTACATTAATATTCGAATAAAACGTAGAAAAATGAAAATATTTTCATTTCTATAATTATTCATTATATGCAGGGTGTATAAAAAATATGCCATGTTATTGTGCGTTAAAAGTATTGGGTATGTGGATTTAATTTTCCCATCCTAATAACGATGAGTAGACCTCTAGCTATCGAATGAGATATTTTTTCTATCATTGCGTTAAAAACTGAACGCGACCGATTTAAAATTGCCGATTATTCTGCAAATTCCACAGGGAGCCCAAGCGTTGATCTGTGTCTGTGTTGTATGTTTTTCAGTTTATTAATTTATTTTGGTGTTTTTATATTGCCTTTTAATTGAATTATATGTTATGCTTGTGATGTTACTCTGAGTGTGTATCCACACCGGGCAGGCTTGAAAAATATTGCCTGGCCACGGTGGGAATCGAACCTACGGCCTTTGGAATACCAGCCCAATGCTCTGCCAACTGAGCTACGCGGTCAGGTCGATTCCAGTATGTGTTATTTCACGTTTTCCAAAGGTCGTAGGTTCGATTCTAGCCCGCGTGCAGGCCCAAGGGAACTGATAGTGGGCCTGCAAGCAAGGCCCGGTATTTTGTAAAACGCCCCTTTTCATAACACGCCCCATTCGCGCGTCAATTGTCAAAAAAGAACCAATGACAGCAACCCAAATATTAACGAACAAACTCGCATTAAAATGTTGCGGGGTTTTCTCTGCTTTAATATTCAAAATAGAAACAATGTGTAAATGCCTGTGTTAAAACTCCAAAAAAGCAAGCAACGCAGTCAGTAATTGCCAAATTTACAAGTGCTCATTTTCAACTAAAATCGGAACAGGCAAATTAAGACGAATTTCAACAGAAAACCAGTCTCAAACTTCAAATCGTGAGGGAAGTCGTGCGACCACATCAGCATTTATAATGTTGTTTCGCTGTCGCCATTGTTATAAATAAATTGTCTCACTTATCAGATCGTGTGTGCAATTCTTGTTGGCGGCGGAAAGTACGAAATTTATTTCAGTTATTTCATTTGGTGAGAACTCTACAAAAGAAGAGAGCGTTCAGAGTCCAGATCGTTTCGTTTCAAACGGCAATTTAACACCGTCTTCTCTTTTGCTCTCTCAGCGAAGCCTTGTAAATCGCAAAGTATTTTGAATAGGCTTACATGCAACTGCATTTCAACATCAACCAAAAGATAATTTTCTTGAGGAACATATAACGTATCAAGTCTGAAATTAATGAAACTCAAGTAAAGGTTACTATAGTTTACCCCAGTCGTAATGTTGCTATTCCAACACCTCACGACAAGCAATCCCCATTGGCATAACGGCAAAACATCTCTTCCTTCAAGTAAACAATAAACAGTTTGTTCTTGTTCCATTTTTAATCGAAAAAAGAGATCAATTTTCGAATTTTAAGCTTATCGAGGGCCTTTGTGATGAATCACTGATCTAATTATATAATCCAACAGCAAACAGCCAATCAGAATGCCGCGTTCGTGGGCGAACGCGGAAAGTACAAAATACCGGGCCTTGGTTGCAGGCCAACTATTCTTCCCTTCGGTCTGCACGCGGGCTAGCCTCATTGCTATGAATATCTAATGATGTGTGAGAAGCAAATTCAAATCCTCGTTAGTGCTTTAAACTTGGCTTCCAAATCCCCAGTGCCATGAACAATGGCTCGGTTGCGCCTCGCCATTGTTCACGGCACTTGTATTTAGAAACCACGTCTAAAACACTAACTCGGATTTGAAATATTGCTTCTAAAATTGAGGTCAATTTATGGTTCATCCTGCCTAATCCTTACAAATAAGCACCCAATACATCAAAATCGGACCCCAAAATTCAGATACATATTTGGTTTAATGAAGGTGAGTGAAATTTTGGAATTAAACATCTTTCATCGTCCTAAAACAACGTGTATTTCACTCAGCATTAAGGCCAATTGTAACTCGAAGAATTAACAAAATTGCAAAGATTTATCAGAAATCTTGATTTCCGCATATGTTACAGATAATTAGCCTTTCTCACGCCGCCATTATTGAGGTACTAAAATTTTTCGTAAACGATTATAATAATGTGAAAAGCTACATTTCAGAACAAACTAACTATTTACAGAGTAAATTGACCATCATACACCCACAAAATTATAAAATGTCGCCGTTACGTGGTTAACGCTCGCAGGATTGGCAAAAAAGTAGGCCTACACCAAGAATAGCGGCGTGAGAAAGGCTAATTCATGTTTGTTCAAAATCCCAAGCACACTCTATCAACGAGAAGACGTTTATGTTTATACTTTGGCAGGAGAAAAAAATATACATATTTTTAAACAACTATATTACTGACAACAACGACAATAATATAATTAGCATGGAAACCACAATAGAATCGTCAGGAATAGATAAATGAATAGTAATAATAATGATCTTAATTTATTTATATAAAAATATATACATATTTTAAACAACTATATTACTGACAACAACGACAATGATATAATTAAAACTAGCAGGGAAACCACAATAGAATCGTCAGGAATAGATAAATGAATAATAATAATAATTATCTCTATTTATTTATTTATTTATTTATTTATTTATATGAATTCATTTATTTATTTACTTCAATATATTTTATAATTAACAACATTGTTCCCATTTAGGTCAATCAACTAATACCTACGCTCTAATTCTCAATCAGAAAAAATCAAATATTGCCAAATTTATAATTAGACCAAGGCTTCCAGTCCCCCGCGAAAAATTAATATCCGTATTAGTTGCTCAAAAGGCAGGGTACCATGGGGTGCCACCCACTCATTGTAGCTGGTTTTAGTTTGTTCAGTAGATTTAGTAAATCCCTCCATCCCTGCGTCTTCGTCCTCAACTCCTTCTTCGCCTTCTCCTTCGTCGTCTTCTTCGAATTCGTCCTCAACTTCTTCCTTCATTTCATCATCTTCAACAATCTTAAGATCTAACTCTTCAACACTTTCTTCTGCGATGTACTTAAAGAAAATTGTGCCATTTTTCAATCGCGTTTTGTTAAAATAGATGCAAGATTTAAGGAGAGCATTTCCCCCCATCTAATGCCTGCCGGTTGGACTGCGTTGATTTGTACTTTCCCTAATAATAGTATACACAATAGTTAGGGACCGCTCATTATTTATTGTACAGGGGGGGGATTGAGGAGAAAGTGGGGGGGCCTTTAAATTTTTTAAAACCTGAAAGGGGGGGCTTTGAAAAAATACAGAGTGACGAAAAAAGGGGGGCTTTGAAAATATTTACCAGTTTGAATAAAACATTACTAGTTTTAAAAATGTATCACAAAACAACTTAACAACAAATAATGTTTATCCCCGAGCCGGCGGCGCGAAGCGCCGTGCGAGGGTACTAATTCCCCCCGGCTATTTACACCCGGGGAAACGAAAGCATTAGGGAAGTCTG